TTAAATATTTAAAAACAATCCTATATATTTTGTATTTTACAATCCAGTCCTATTTTTTGAGAAAATTAAATATCTTTTAATTTTTTTAAAAAAAAGAGATAAAATTTTAGATCGAAATCCATATCTAAGATGAATTTTAGAAGGCGACCACATATAAATCGGTTCATTCGCTAACACACCAAACCCCACCCTTTATGGATTACACCAAGTGCACCTATTGTCACACTGCTTCGGGCGCTAGATTCACAATTAATTGAATTCTCCACTTTTTTTTAATTTTTTTTCAAAATACTTTATCTTTAATAGTGATCTTTTGGGGTCTCATAGTATCATTACTCTATCTTTATTATAATATTTTGCATATATCTCTTTTCTCTTTTGTTAGGTGTTAAAAAAGAATAAAAAATATAAAACCATTCTCCAATATTCACCTGTTGTAATATTGAAGCCTTTAAGAGATAGGTTGGGAGAGAGACTTACCGTCTTCCCATTATTCCTTTATCTCTATCTCGATTACAAGGGATAGGGGTGGCAATGTACCCAGACCCGACCCGGGACCTAACGGTGGGATCCGACCCCCCCCAACCTAGGTCTGGATAAGGGTGCAAGAAGTAGACCTGAGGGACAAGGTCCGGGTCCTTGAACACTATTCGGGTATGGGTTTGGTCCATGTGGACCCAATTATTTAAATAATATTTAATATATAATATGTTAATAATATTTAAATAAATATAACTATATATTTCTAATTACAAAGTTTAAATAATATATGTATAATACTTAAATATATTTACATATACATTTATTTTTGAATCAGGTTCGTGCCTGGGTCCGAGTCCGATCGATCTGGATCCCATAATTTTTTTGTGTGGGACCCAACCCGTTGCCACCCCTTAACAAGGGAGCACCCGAAAAGCCTGGCAAATTTGAATCTCCGTATTAAAGAGGGAGACTGAAATGTAGTAAAGGGAAATTAGTATGGATTTTTGTCAAGACTTGGAATGGCGTCAAATTGATGAGGACTGCGCATAGGAATCATTTTCCTGTCCTTCTTTCACATTGCAAAATACTTTTTTCCTTTCACAAGAGCGCAATCAGTATTTAATCATTTGCCTTGTTTGACCGCTTAATCAGTATTGAATCTGATTTTTTAACAAGACTTGTAATGAAACATTACTACTTATCGTTCACAATAAACATCCCTACTTTTTTTTTCTTTTTTGTGAGTGTGTTCAGTTTACCTGTACTAGGCTGTGGGCCATTAGGGTGGAGCATGGAATAGGACCATAGAGGCCCTTGCGCAATCCAGGCCCAGCCCAACCCCGTCTGGGCTGGCCGGGTCGATAGATATTAAATTTTTAATTCATGCAACAAGGAAAAAAGTCAGGCCAACTGGGCAGGGGCAAGACCCGGTTCGACACCTGGAATTTGGGTCTTAATTTATTTCAAGACTAAATTAATCATCGGAACAAATTTAGTGGCTTGGGCTAGAGTGTACCTCAAAATTTTTACTAGAATAGGTTATTTTGATGCCCAAATATCCCCAAATTGATTATCTCGACATCAAGATGTCGAGATAAAAAAATAGATTTCAAGTTGCGGAAATGGTGCATCTTATAATGCATTTTTGGATTGTTAAGTTTCAAGATTTTCAAGTTTTTTTAGATCGGCTCGATCTACACTACGTTTTAAGCTTTAAATTTTATACTTAGAGATGAAAATATATTATAAAGCTATCATAAAGATTTTCAGTATTGAAACCACATTTCTCGACACTATTTGAAGGTGCGGTCTACTTTGATTGTTTAGAGCCTCGACTCTATACAAACTACACCCAATCTATAAACACATAAAAAATTCTTAAAAATGAATGGCCTATATAATATCTTGGAAGATATATTGTTTTTGGGACTCGTATACTTTTTTCTATATCCATAGATTGGACATCAAGATGATCAATTGGATAGTTTTCTTGCATCAAACTAGCTTTTTAATGGAAAATTTACGTATGAACCGGATTTTAGTCCTCGAAAATAAGTAATTATTACTTTGATGAACGGATCTTCGATTTTTTTATTTTTTTTTCAAGTTTGCCCCCGGTTCTCCAATATCGGATCGCCTTTTATTGATTTTGTTTCAATGAACTAAGCGTTCCGATGTTAGAATCATCGGACTGCATTTTGTTGATTTTCTTTTGTGAACCATACAGTCCGATGTTCGAAACATCGGATTGCCTTTGGTGATAGTGAACTAAACGGTCTGATGTTAGAATCATCAGACTGCATTTTGTTGATTTTTTTTGGTGAACCATGTAATCCGATATTTGAGATATCGAACCATTTTTTGTTGATTTTCTTTTAAGTAAATTAAGCGATCCGATGTTAGAACCAACGGACCGTATTTTGTTGATTTTTTTTTGGTAAACCAAGTAATGAAATATTTCTAACATCAAAAAAAAAAAAGGTTTAGCGTTGCCAAGCAAGGCATGACTTCAGCCTGAATACAATGAAAACTCATGAATGCTTCCCATGGCTTCACAAATGCATTATTTTAACAAACTTATGGGAGCTCATTTGTTTCTAAACAATGTTCCATTAACGGAAAAGATTAAATGCATCAGACTGCATGAATGCACAAATGCATAGGCCCAAAATCAAACACAAGTAAATGTTTCTTAGTTCTCAACATGCACCCATTCCGGGAGAATTGCCTTGAGGTAACACGATTAGAATTTACCCAAAAGTCATTCTAGCCTTGCAAATGAATCCAATCCCACATAAAAGCATGTATACAATATATGCTTAAGCACCAAATGAACTGGTAGAGAGACACATGTGTCTCACAGACGATGGGGATGGGGAGAGAGAGAGAGGGAGAGGGGGTTTACAGAGGTAAAGCGAGGGAGAGAGAAAGGGAAGGAAATTTAAAGAGAGATTGCGAGAGGGAAAAGAAATTTACAGAGAGAGGGAAGATTGGGGCAGGAGATTCACAGCGAGAGGGGCAGGAAAATTACATTGACAGGGAGCGAGAGCGAGAGAAAGAACGACCAAGAAGGAAGATTGGGGCAAACTTGGGGGTTTTGGGGCTGAAGAGCAGTCTGATCGACGGTAAACTTGAACTAAAAATAAAAATAGGGTTTTGTTATTCCAGAATAACGGCCTATTTTTGATAAATTTTTAATATCTTTTCTTCTTTCTACAAGGTGTCGACCTTACATTAAACTTTTTGCTTCTATCAATGTTACAGTAGATAAAAACTTAAAAGGAAATGTCTCTTACCAAAAAAGCACAAAAGAAGAAATACCTCTTATTTTTAAATTAGAGAAAAGTTTATATAGAGCCCCGGCTCTAAACAATCAAATTTGAGCATACCTAAAAAATTTTACTAGAAGAGGTTGTTTTGATGCTCAAATATCTTCAAATTGATCATCTCGACTTCAAGAAGAATGGACGTGAAAAAAAAAATGGATTTCAAGTTTTGGAAATAGTATATGTTGTAATATATTTTGGGATCATCAATTTTCAAGATTTTTAAGTTTTCATGGATATGTCGATCTACACTTTTTTTAAAGCTTTAAACTTTATAAACAACTATGAAAATGTATTTTAAGGCCATCACAAAGATTTTTAAGGTAGTCTTTATAAACAGACTACCTTAAAAATTTTTAAGATTGGGGTAGACTTGGGGGTTTTAGGGCTGAAGAGCAGTCTCTAATTTGATTGTTTAGAGCCTAGGCTTTATACAAACTGTACCCTTTTAATTAAAGGGAAAAGTTCAACCTTAAAATATAGAATCACATATGCACCTCAAAAATCTATCGGAAATGTTGTTTTAATGTTGAAAAAACATTCTAATCGATCATCTCGACATCGAGATGTATGAATATGAAAAAAAAAAAACTTTTTTAGTCCCGAAAATAGTGTATCTTGTAACATATTATCTAGACGGTCCATTTTCAAGATTTTCATATATTTATAGATCTACTTAATTTTAATTATTTTTAAAATTTAAATTTTTTTAATTAAGTATGAAAATAGATTTTAAAATAACACTATATGTTATGATAAAATTTTATAAAGTACCCCTTAATTGGATTGTTTAAGGTTGCAACCTTATAGAAATCGCACCCTTTAATTAATAGATACATATACTTCAGTCTTGGTTTTACTCGTCAATTTAAAAAGTAAACATGACTACGGTTATGACTTATTGAAGCTTAGCATAAAAATATGAATTTTTTAATGAAAAAGGAGCGAGAAATCATTTCAAGATAGATTTAAGTATGCGTGGGAGAAGGTTATCAGTAACTAAAGATTGATCTAACTCCTACCTGAAAAACAAGAAACAGAACCTTGGTCTATTAAATTAATGAGGCAATCTATGCAAAAGTAAACAATAGCAATTCTGGTTCTTGACTTATATTTATGAGAGAGAGAGAGAGAGAGAGAGAGAGAGAGAAATTGAATCATTGAGAGAGAGCCAGAGGGATTGAACTTCATCTTCATAGAGAGAGACGGATTGAATCATCTAGAGAGAGAGAGAGAGACGGATTGAATCATCTAGAGAGAGAGAGAGACAGATTGAATCATCTAGAGAGAGAGAGGGATTGAACTTCATCTTCATAGAGAGAGAGAGAGAGAGAGAGAGAGATACAACTCGTTAGAAAGTAAAGGATAAGAGAAGAAGAGAGATACCAACCGTTAGAAAGTAAAGTATTAGAGAGAGAGAGAGAGAGAGAGAGAGAGAGAGAGAGA